GGGTCCCAGGGACTCCACATTATCGAACACTAATGCAACCCCTGTAAGTAACTTTTAATCTTTCTCCAACTGGCTGCTAAAAAAAAAAATAAACTAGTCATCCACGTCAGATGTCTTTGCTTTATCCATACAACGTCAATAGAACAAGGATTTTCCTAAATCATCCAAGAAGCATTTAGTAGAACTGTTAGTTGGGCTTTTTTGACTTGTGCTTAACAATTTTTCTACATTCTTTCTTTGCAAAAAAATAAACTTGAAGATTGTTGTTTTGCTATTTAGTTTTAAACTCGGACTGTTATTTCAATTAATCCATTGATTATTTTTTTTTTTCATTCCCTTGTAGATCCAATTGTTAAAGAACAACAGGGTCGAATGGCTTCAAGTCTGACTGGCAATTCACCAACCCCTGTAACAGGAACAGTCAATTCAGGAATACCAGGTAAATTGTTTCTTGCTGTCAGTGTGAAAATGGATTGATTTTTTTTTTTTACACCTTTTACAAGCAATATTTACTTCCTACCATCAGTCACTTGGCTTAAATATACAAATGACTGAAAGAGAATCTTTCTAATTAGCATTTGGCATGCCTTGAAGAAGGTGCACTACCTGCCCTGATTTAAATATTTTAATTCACCTTAACACATTGAAATGACTACCACCTTCTATATAAGGAAACTGCTTAAAATTATTGAGACCTCTGCCACTTTCCTTTAATTTACTGAACATTTTGTGAATAATAATATTGAGAATGATTGTCAACAGAAATAAAGGGGAAATGCTGTATAAGGAGCAAACTGCCGAGTTTGTATTTGCCAAAATACAATGTAACTGGTTGTCCATGTACCATATTGTCTCTTCTAGAATCCCCTTTCAGATAGAAGCATGTTGGAGGTGCTCTTAAAAGTCAAAGTGGACACTGTCAAGTAGAATAGAACCAAGCTTTTAAATTCAGAGGAATTCCGTCCAATACAAATAATCATAATGCAGTCATTCTCATCTTCAAGTGAAATATTATATATTTTCTTTGGAGGGTCCAGTCAAATGTGGTAGGAGGTTTATTTTTTTTAGCCTGTTGGTGGCTGGCAGCACTGCCCTTCTGACTGACTGAATGCTTGTGCTTCCAACAATTTTTAGGTTTTTTTTTTCGTGACCTTTTTCTTCTATAATTGTCATCTTGCAGGTGCAAATAACAGTTTAGCTCCAAACTCGGTTAGTGGTGTCGTGTCTGCATCGCCCATCATGTCATCACCAGCTCCGCAACCTGTATCTCCTGTACCAACCTCTGTACCTACAGCAGCAGTTGCTCCATGAATACAGGGAGCATGGACATAGAAAAAAAAAAGTAACTTATTTGTGGTGCTGAGACATGTACAATATAATACTTTGGGTATACACAGGAAAAAAAAGATGCATGTAGACTGAAAAATAACAACATGTGTATGTAGAAGTGAAACTGGGTTGTCAATATGCATTATTGATTTGCATAACATTTCTCAGTACAGTTTTCTTAATATTTTCACTATTCCGACACTGCCAAAGTTCGGCAGTTTACACCATTGTTTTTTTTTTGAGTTTTAAGAAGAGGGGAAAAATTTTATGAAAGCTTTTATATAACCCAAAGTTCATTTCATTTGTGTTTTACTTCTACATTCTGTGTTGTGGAGATACTTTGAATGCGTATTCAAATTTGATGACACAATATAATGTACAAATGTATTCTATTCAACTAGCTATTCACTCTTACTGCTATCCTTTGTCGACACCATTTTTGTAATTCAATATTTTTTTTCATCGTCATATGTGTTGCACAATACCATGATGTGAATTGTAGCTGGTGTGTGCTAACTTTGGTACAGTGACAAACCCACATGTATACCCCTTCAAATTTTATGTGAATAATAATTTTTGCATTGATTTTGTCATTGATAGTTAGGTTACTCATTTAATTTTTTGTAAAAACATTGAATGCTTTCTTTCAAATTGTTTTATTTCAGGCCCTCCTCCAACAGACTTGTGTATGCTTTATATTGACTGGTCCAAATAGCTTTTTTTTTTTAAGTATTTGTACACCCCACATTTGCATTTAATTATGCAGAACTGGCATGTAATATTTTTGATTATTATTGATACTGGTTTGTTTTATCAGTCACAGACGACTGGATGATTATTCTATGTGTGGAGCTTTTTCACTATCTCAGGCAGTTTTGCTTGACATCGTTTTACTTGGATGTTTAAGGAAGACTGGGAACTGTATTAATAATGTACTGTAGAATAGTCTATTGAACTAAAATATTCTCCTCACTCAAAAAGTCAGGCCATTGTGCTGTTCTGAATGCATTCCCCCCACCCCATTTTTTGCTCCACCCCTAAGCCAACTAACATTTAAGATGAAAACTTAATTTTGCCAATGACAATTCATGTTTTTTAAACAGTTTTGTAATTTTGTCTGACTGTACTTCAGCTTAACCTGTTT